TTATTCAAGGCTGGAGACGATCGCGGTACTAAAGTTATGTCCAGATTGCGAATTTTATACATTTATGGTAAGAATGTATAGAGCAAGTAGAAAACAATTGCAGATTATAATCCACAGACTAATTATAACAAACAGAAAATGGTCTGGGTGAGGTCGGAGTACGTCTGAGTTAGTTCTAAAACCCCTTTCTACCAATAAAACTAACTCAGACCTTTTTTTCATTTCTTATGTTTTCCAACATGCAAGAATCCTCATGACTACAAACGAAAACGAGGTTATGTTGGATATTTCACTATATCTACCGTGAACTATCAGACTTAATCCAGACAGAAACTAGACGTAACCTAGTCGAAACCTAATCGAAACCTAACCAAAATCTAACCCAAAATTAATTGCAACTTAACTCTTATGTCAATAACCGGGCACCCTTTTGCACATTCTCTTGAAAATATTTCTTGTTCCCGGTGAAATATAATACTTCCATATCGGATGATGCTTTGATATACAGAGTATCCCAAAAATGTTTCGCAATGCGGAAATGGGGGGTAGCTGAGGTCATTTGAAGTAACTTTTTTCTTAGCGAAAATTCAATCTGCGGTTTGTTGAATAAGCCGAGTACTCGGGTACCCTTATAGGGTTAGTAAGGTAGTGTAAGAAGGAGTAAATATTCTTCAGACAATTAATANAAAAAATAGAGGTTAACGTGCGAAAAATAGTGATTATCTTCAATACTTGGATAATATGACCTTGACAGAAAAAACGTAAATCATGATAGCTTTGAACTAAACAAACTTGTCCTGACACATTTTTTTATATCAGCAAAAGTAACGTAGAAGATATTACAATGTCCAGGGTAAAATAAACACCCTACATGTGTTGTAACACGTTGGTATAGGTCGCCGGCAGTCAAGGAAAAACATATTTTTATGTTTCTCCGAACAGTAATGTAAGATGTTAGCAGTTTTAAGGTTTGCTTAAGGTATATTTATTTATACCATGCTGTTAAATAATATATTTAGATACATATTGGTGCAAGAATAAAATACAAAATTAAAAAATTATAAATTATAAAATAAATAAATTATAAAAATTTAATATATAAAATTTATATATTTTTTACCTTCCCTTAAACATACTAGGGTTAAAGATGATGACATTTATAGTTTGCCAAATTTTATTCAAGAAATCATTTGTAGGAGATTTTACAATTAAAACGTATGTACAAAGATGAATTTTGTACATAAGTGACGCGACATATATTTGAATTAAGTGTTGTCATCGTTGTCGTATTATAATATGTATGGCGGTAGAGAAAGGATTCTGATGGTCATCGAAAGACCTGCTTTCCCATTTTTATGATATTCAAGTTTAACGATGTTAATAATGTTGAAATTAAGATCGTCATATTAAATTTTAAAGCAACCGACTTTACTCTTAGGTCGCGTTCCATAAGTTCGTGTTTACTGTTCCCATATTCTTTAAATATCTGTGGACAGGCGTGGACCTCTAGGAAACACCTACCTCTAAAATAACACTAAATCTACTGAGCAGAAATAACGTACTATAACCAACTTTACTTTTAAAATTAATTAATTTAATTACCATTAAAATTAGCAACTATATATGTTAACTGTCCGAAGCGACGGCGGATGCTGAGTCATTGTTGACCCACTCTGTTACTACCGAACAACATTATGTAACACCCGCTCGGAAAATCAATCAAAGTTATGACAAATATGCTAAAAAGAGTGTCTCAACACCGATTTCACTGAATCAGAAATATGTTGTGGATATTGTTGTACATACAGAGATATACTTTATTCAAGGCTGGAGACGATCGCGGTACTAAAGTTATGTCCAGATTGCGAATTTTATACATTTATGGTAAGAATGTATAGAGCAAGTAGAAAACAATTGCAGATTATAATCCACAGACTAATTATAACAAACAGAAAATGGTCTGGGTGAGGTCGGAGTACGTCTGAGTTAGTTCTAAAACCCCTTTCTACCAATAAAACTAACTCAGACCTTTTTTTCATTTCTTATGTTTTCCAACATGCAAGAATCCTCATGACTACAAACGAAAACGAGGTTATGTTGGATATTTCACTATATCTACCGTGAACTATCAGACTTAATCCAGACAGAAACTAGACGTAACCTAGTCGAAACCTAATCGAAACCTAACCAAAATCTAACCCAAAATTAATTGCAACTTAACTCTTATGTCAATAACCGGGCACCCTTTTGCACATTCTCTTGAAAATATTTCTTGTTCCCGGTGAAATATAATACTTCCATATCGGATGATGCTTTGATATACAGAGTATCCCAAAAATGTTTCGCAATGCGGAAATGGGGGGTAGCTGAGGTCATTTGAAGTAACTTTTTTCTTAGCGAAAATTCAATCTGCGGTTTGTTGAATAAGCCGAGTACTCGGGTACCCTTATAGGGTTAGTAAGGTAGTGTAAGAAGGAGTAAATATTCTTCAGACAATTAATAAAAATAATAATTTATTGCAATGATAAGTAAAAAGTAAATAAAAAGGAATATTTATATAACTAGTTATAAGCAGTAACGTAAACAGTAAGTTATACAAAACAGTAACGTAATATAGGAGCCCATCATAGGGATATATAAAACAATGTCGACAATTACGGTTATTGATATAAGGGTTAAGAACGAAGCGAGAATTGTAGCAAATATCTTTGCGTGTATCTCGGAAACGAAGGCCGAGCAACGATAAGATGTATATGGAGAAGTTGTTCAAAATGACAACATATTTCAAGGTGATCGAAATTAATGAGGTGTCCTCTAATATAAATAAATACCATTTAATCTTGTCGAGCAATAATTTATATGAGTTCATCCAAAGCACGTACGAATTACACGGTAAACAGTCTCAATATGGGTATTTGTCGGCACTATTAAAGGTAATAACTCGCAATTAATCGCTTGATAGCATAATTACGGTAATATACGAGCAATATCAAGTAACGCTCGGTAAAAATCATAGTCAAATATCTTGACGCCTATATTTTCAATCCACTGAAGTCGAAATACAGTCGCAGACGGAGGGTTTCAGTGCGGCAGCTGGCCATCGTAATTGGTACCCTCGGAGGCCCGCATCTTCAAAGTGTCGACGAGTATTCTGCATCAAAAATAAGAAGCCAATCAGAAAAAGAAAGGAATACAAACATGTGTCTCATTTATCCGAGCCAATTAAACTTCCCTGAAAAATCACCGGCCAGAAAACTATTCGTAGACCTCTGTCCTTTCTTTCCATGAAATCCGCGCGAATCTGAAAAACGTATCGCAGTATTCCGTCTATGCCGCGAGTAATGAGACGTCTGATATTGCTAAAAATACCCGGCTAAGGGAATAATTGGAACGGTTGATACAGAGTTTTGCTGCTCGTGTTTGCAGGAGCTTACATTAAATTGCCAGTTACCATTGCATTTTTGATTCCCTCGAATTTTTCAGAATTCCGCAATTACGGAAACCAGCTGGTTCGAGTTACGGGTTTCAAAGAAATAAAATCACTGCCTGCGACTCGCATAACATAGACAATGCACTTTGATCTAGAATCGAAAAAGTAGTACGCTCGAAAGCGATTTCGATCTTGTGTGATATTTCGAACACAGAACTTATTGATGTTTGGCTAACTTATCGATTATTCAAAATCCAGAAACAATTTCGAAATTGGAGATTTTACTTTTTTAATCGAGTAATCATGTGGAACCTAAGCACGACAACGGTTCAGATTAATTAGCATTTCCGTTGGTTTTTAATTAAATATTATGTCTAATCTGTGCGATTAATGTGAAGCTTTACACCACTTTTTGTTTCAAAATATTTATTACCGTTAACTGAAAAATATTCATTGTTTACTCTTCATGTTACTTTCGACTGCGTTAGACTGTTTATAAATTAAGTAGTTGTTATGCAATAATGTAGAAATCGATTTATTTATTAAACAACGCTGACTTTATTATGCTTTCTTTTCATGATAAAGTGGTTTTATGATGGATCTATTCGAGTCTTTTAATTATGTGCAGATGCTACTTAAAAAAAATACGACAAACATTGGAGAATATTTTTTTCCACGAAGTAAGACTTATCTTCTGGAGTATTCATGTTACTTACTTTCCCCCAACCTTGAAAATCCTTTTTCTGCTTCCTGAATGAATTTCGAGCGGATCCACCTGCCGTTTTGTTTCCAACCGGGCTTCTTGCTTCTCTCAGTTTACGGCATCGTCTTCTTTTCACTTTGGTCACGAAGTATCGTCTCGTATGTAGAAAATTATACATCAAAAATGTTCGAGAAATTCACTGCTGATGGTGATGCTAAACGAATTATAGTTCGTCATTGATAGTCGTTTTCGTGGATTTGATAATTGGAGAAGGTTCTAGAAAGATGTAAAAGATACATTTAGAGCGCTCTCATGTATAAACAAATGTATAAACATAATGTAAATATAAAATAAAAGTGTAGGATGATTCTATAATTGGATTGTAAAAGTTAGATTATGAAGCAATTAATGTGTAAGAAGTGCTTTTATAATTTCACATTTCTCGAACCAGGATAACAATTTGTAATGAAAAAGTAGCTGTTGTCGTGGAATAGAATATAAGAATATATAATATTCTTATTATAAATAATAGTAGAATATATAATAGTGCAGAGGTGTTTGATATGAGATTAGGTTGCGAAAACCTTTAAAGAAATGATGCAGTGTACATTAAAGCAACTGACGATTTGGCTTTTATCTACTTTTTATATATTATTTTTATATCTCTATTTTATATTCGCATTGTACCTATATCACATATGAATGTGAATGTACATATGAATATACATGCATTATAAATTATATAAATTGATAAAAGAAGTTTTATAAATACCACAAATTGAACAATGTAGCTCAAGACTACACATTGAAGGGATTAATAAATACAAAAGACACGCGTTGGATATAAATTAAAGAAAAAACCAAAAATTCAAATACACATCGTTTATTGAATTTCAATATCAATAAGTCATTTTCTTTTATTTAAATGGAAAGGAAAGTATGAGAGCTGTGTTACAATAAAAAATATTGTGTGCAATCGAGAAACCAACAATTGTGACAACGTGAGGCAGTCATTTATGATGAAGCGTATTTTTATCGGCAAACACAGACGCCATTTTTACAACTACCACCCCAACGTCTTTGAGTTAAGCATTTCGCAGCGCAAGCTGCATGATGGGCGCCGAACCACTTCGTTGAGAAGGAGAGGACGTCGCAAGTAAATCTACGTGGCCGCATTACATCATCATAATCTTGGCCATCATTGTCGTCAGGAAGTGCAATAGGTTCAGCACTGGATAGTGCCATGGCTTTGGCAACAGCATTAGCAAAAGCATTAGCATACGCTTCAGCATAGGCTGCAGGATCAGCACCAGGATCGGCAGCACGTTCATTTAAACGCCCTGAAAACAATCGAAGTTCTCTGTTTACTTCTCCGCTAAATACTTAAAATGAGAGCAATCAGTAGACTGTGGATTTTATGCATTCATGGCAAAAAAATAATATTTATTTCAGCGATTTTTAACCTTTCTACGTCAAGCTAATAAAATGTAATTAATAATGTTTTGCTGCGTGTTACTTAACTAGAAGTGTGCATATATCATAGAATATTATATAATATCATTTCAATGTCTTCTTTTATTTAGAAATATAATTAATATATTTTGTAACTATAAAATTATCGTGCAAAATATCAATCAAACAGCAATTTTCTACATTTTAATCACTAAAAGTAACGAATTCATAGCAAACCACCATTAAATAGTTTAAAAAATAGTTTAAATTTTCTACATCATTGTTCAACATGTTTTATTGCCTTTAAACTCTACGACATTATGAAAGAAAATTAGAATTAATAATACGATTGTTTGCAACATATCTCATTACACTTGTTCGCTGCAAAATTTTATTGTAACGACATTCATTTATCGTGTATTAATGTTTTCTCTAGTACAAAGACATTTCTACTGTTATTACAGTTTTGTAAATATAGTCGTATAATGTGATTACTTACCCAATCCGTACATTGGTCTATCATCCTGTGGAATACTTGCCGCAGATGCCTGGGCAACGATAACAAAAATGCAAAAAGCACTGAGAAACTTCATATTTTGTGAAATAAAATGTCACTTGTCACTAAAAATGCTTTGAATTGTTTTGGGAGCGAATGAAGCTTGCACAATGGGAACATTTCTTTATATACGTACTTAATCACGTCGGTGAAAATGCCAGGCTTTGATTGTTCCCCACTTCCGGATCACGAAACTTCCAGGAAAAGGAAGGACTTTGGTCAGTGATACTACAGATTACAGCTTTATATTGTAATTTTAACATATTCTAAGAAGGAGATTTAAAAATCTTTTTTATCCAAACAAACCGATGTGCTATTAATCAATTAATTGTATTATTAATCGTATTTATATTAACTCTTTGCACTGTACTATCATGATGGACAGATTACGAAGATTTCGAACATAGACTATTAAATCTGCATGGTATGCATTTATTTCAAAACGAAATAAAATTCGACTATTCAATTATCAACATTTAAATGTTAAAGTAAATGTTGGCAGTCACTAAATAAAAATTTTCGTTCTTGTATAGGAATTTATTAGAATTTGCTCGAAAATATTTCTACTCGTTTACCTGAACATTCCATCAAAAATAGGATTATTAGAATCTCCAAGCATCTGGAAAAACTCAAGATCGGAGATTCGATTTCAACAGATGATTACTCCGCTAATCTGGAATCTTAATCTTAATCATCCCTTCATTTGAAACCTCTGACATCATGGCCAATGTCTCCGAATTCTCTATTGGACTACCAGAAGTTTTATGAGTACTTAAACGTCTCCATTTGTGTCGAATCTCTGCTCAACTCAACTATCACTAATATACAGTATCCAGACTTTTCTAATTTTTAGAAAGGAAATAATTAATTCTATGGATGGTGGAATACTGTTGTTAATCCACAAAGACTTTGCTTATTATGAAATTACAAATATCGTAATTTCTGATGATCCGGTTGAAATATGCGGCTTACAATTTACTAACGTTAATCCTAGTTTTAATATTATCGTATATTACCGAGCACCGGGTCATAATCTCTCTTTAGCTAAATGGGATGAAGTATTCTTTAACATCAACTCTGGGACTTCTCCTAGAATAACAGTAATAAGAGTACTGATTTTTTACTGGATTTTGTCACATATCGGCATTCTGGACATTGAAAGAATGATGTAATTGTCCAATTTGTGAGGTTGTTTTTATTGAAAAATATGTGTGAGTATGTGTGAAGTTGGCATGAACGCGTGCGTGTGTGTTAGGTTAGAAATGAATATGTGTATAAGGGGGAGAGAGACAGGCAGAAAGAGAGAGAGAGAGAGAGAAAGAGAGGGCTGTAATCAGTACGGAGTAGGAAGCGTGATGTAGAGGGGAGGAAGAAAAAAAGCGAAGTGTGGTGACGGAGTGTGAACAGTCGGAGAGTCTGAGAGAGTGTGTACGAACAGAGAGTTTAAGGAGAGTTAATATTAAAACATCATTTATAATTTATATATATAAATTTTCTGTTTGTACACACACTCTCAGACTGAAATGCGTAGCTCAAAGACGAAGAAACAGAAATTAAGTGAGAATAAATTGTTTGCTTTATTAATTTTAAAAAGCTGAAAATAGTGTAACGATATAAATGATTCAATTCATCTTACGTCTTTATAATTTTATATTACAGCTCTTCATTTTTGCAATAAATGCATAAAATCCGCCATCTACTTATAAGCTCTTCTAATGCAAGAAAATGACTTTATGCGAACGGTTTAACGTGGTTCAAATAAAAACGATATTTAATATAATTATTTCAAGTGTAGTAGAATATGATGAATGAAGAATGTAGTACATTGGCATTAACATCGAAAGCTGTTTAACATCAAGATTGATCAATTAGCGTTGATAATCTTTCCTGCTTTCTATACTAACAGCGAAAGGATGTAAAACACACAATACCAAATGCTCCAAGCATCACTACATTCACGTACACTCTTCGAAATTTCACACTGTTCCCAGATTATCTTTGAACGCTGAACAAAATGAGTACCGTGTGTGGAAAACGAAAAAATCTGCAGGAGAGCAATCTGAAACTAATTTTCAATATCGCGACTGGACTCACGCACCATCAGTGATTAACCGAAGCTCCCAATCATGGTCCATTCACATTTTAATAAAGCAAGATAAGAGGTCCACAGCGTTAGGTGTGAAAACGAAGGTTAAAAAACGATCGCGGTTCAAAGGTGCTAAAAACGTCGATAATCTCGGTATAGTAATAAGGAAGAACAAACCCCGGAGGGAGACCGGTGGAACGGAACAAAAAGGAGCGACGTGGGTGCGAGCGGAGAGGGAAAAATAAGTGTGAATCAAGTTAAGTGAAAGGGAGCAACGAAAGTAGGAAAAGAGAGGAGAGAAGTCCAAGGAGGAAGGGTCGGACACGAAGATTTTCAAGATAACACCGGTATAGTGCATCTCCTGAGGTTCTTAGCGCCGGTATCTTGTTAATTACACCTCGACCGATCGTAATTATCCCTTGGCAGATAATGGGTCGATTACCAAAGATGGACCGCGATGAAAAAACAAGAACATCTACGTCGCCGCTACTTCGTCATCCTTAATCAGGCCGGGGAGATCCTGCTTTTGTTTTAGAAGCTCTTTTTAATAGCAATCTATTTGCATACGAAGCTTATAAGGCAACTTCGTTTACCGACGATCACAAGCTTCCCAGAGGCCTTTCAATTTAATCATCATGTACATAAATCGCTCCGTTGTTTGTCGAAGCTACGAAATTTATAAAAGGATCGCTAAAGCGAACAGCAAGAGCAGTACCTACACGGTGCTTCACTTAACCGTAATGCCTCGAATATTTTCGTGATAAAATCTGCAATAGCATTAATTGCTCTTTGCGTAGGTTTCCTAGTAATTTAAGGACAATATGGGAGGATTAAAATACGTACGTGGTAGAATATTGGACAAAGGATAATGTTTGTAGATATAATGTTTTGGAGGACGAATTTGTATAACAGGATATGTAAATAGCAGATTTTTAGCATGAAATTAATTTTAGGCGAAAGAGAGAGAGCTAATCTCCGTGCAGTGGTCTCTAAAGTTTAATGTCAGACATGATCCTCTTCAAATGACTTCAAAATAAAATTGTTAAAATGTCAGTGAAAAGATATTAATATTGTTAAAATGTCTATTAAAATTAATATTGTGTAAACGTATTAATACAATTTAATATAATTTACTTATTCAGAATTTGAATACAGTCTCTTCACACCAACAACTGAGACTACAAAAGTAGTATCATCAGTAGTATCATGACTACAAAAGTAGTATCGTGAAAATAAAACGGCAGAGACCACCACAACTAAAAGTACAAATTTATTATTATCTGACACAGGTTAATATTATAATGGCCAATCGGGCGAACGCTTGTGCTCCTCGCCACGGTCTCAATCGTTTTACTTTATAGGATAATATATCGCCGTTGAAATAAGACAATACAATCAAGAAATGAATCGTACAGTTCGCTTAAAAATCAGCTTATCGAAGATATGGTAGTACAACTGAAGAAATTTAATTCTACCTTAAATTCTTCTCGATTTTTTTGCGATCTGACCAGCTGTTGGTTGCTCCGTGTCTACATGAATATTTTATTATCTCCAGCCATGCATGTTGGTCAAGTTCAGAGTTATTTAAGCGTTTTGTTTTTTGCGATAGGTGGGTCCATGGGTCGCCATGAAGGACTGCGGAGGTCGTAGGTCATCGAAGTGTTGGGCTTGTACCGAGCGTCCTTGTCCGGAAAGATCTTGATATCCGTGACCACTTAACCTCCAAGTTCAAACGTCATTCACGAAAGGGAGATCTTCTCTCGAGAAGTTCTTGGATTTGTAATGAACGCTGATGAGCCCGAATCATTTCCATTGGCTCCATTAACAATCGTAAAACCGAACGAAAAAGGTTTCCAAGGTCACGGTTAGAATGATACCCCTACGAGGACCAGAGCGGTTATACGATCATTAGACTGCGGCGAAAAAATGAAAAAGAACACATCTATTTCGCCTATAGAGTTTCATTCTTTTTAGAGCGTCTTCGTTATCTCAACTTCTCGAGGTGCATCATGTTTAGATTTGATTAATAAGGACTGTTTTTCTTCTTTCTTAATAAAAAATAATAATCATTCTAAGAATCATCCGCAGCTTTTTATTTGGGACTGTCTTTCTTCTTACTTTAATAAAAATAATTATTATTTTGGAATTGTTCAATTCACAGTAAACAAACGATGTAATTTCTCGACTAATTCTTAACGCTTTCGTGCAAATTGCGTTTATTTGATATGGTAGATTTTTAAGATCTGTACATAATATTTACTATAATTCAAAAGGAAAACTAAAATTGAAAATGATTCTGCAATAATTAATATTTGTTGTTCCTATATGAATAAAATCACTGCTAAAATTGTTTAAATTTGTACATAATTTCTACCACAATTCAATTCTTGTGTAAATAAAATCGCCGTTCGTATTTTTAATATATGATACAAAATTACTTTCAATTTAAGCCCTTGATGTCTAATGACGTGTCAGATTGATTATGTTTTGAAGTATAACCTGTTAAGTTGGAATAAAATTCTTCTAACAAATTGGAATAAAATTCTGTTCTTAAATTAGAAATATGTGTTGTTACAATCAATACAGTTGATACAGTGAAATGCAGGTGCCAACACTTTTGCAGGTTAACTTCTATGTTGCAATTGTGAAAATGCATTTGTTTCCATATTTTAAGTAATCAATATTTTAATTATATTTATATTATATAATATTTAATCAATATTTTTCCTTCTAAGAAATTATTAGAATCGAAAGAATTTTAATCTCTGTAATCATAAAGAAAATTTGAAAAGAATGGTAAATTGATATTCTAAAAATGTATGTTCAAGCTTTGTTTGTAAATTATCTTTCTATCATTCTTGTACGTACTAAAGTAAAAATATATGCCTGTTGTTAATTATTATGTGGACCCAGAGCAGTCGTCGTTTTTATTATGTTGGGGTATCTGCAATTACGGTTATCAGAAAGTCTTTAAAAACATTTGACATTTTTCGGCGCCGCGCCGGGCAAAG